TAGAACAAGTTAGGGAGAAAAACAGATGACCCTACATTTAAACCAAACACAATTTTTCCAATCAATCATTTCAAAACGAGTATTCATCTACAATCTCACAAATTACAAGTCTGAAAGCCACCTTACTAATAAAATTTCGTTTCCGACTTCCTCCATTTTGAAATAAAATATCCTCTTTAAGCGGGTATCTAACATAGTCATTTTAACTCGTTCTTTATTAGCACAGAAACTATCAATCACCACAATCATTTACTTTTTTATTACTAAAACATACCACATATCTCGCAAACTCAAGCTTTTTCTAAAAACCAAACAAACATTTTTCTCATCGATTATACCATAAAGCTTTAACAAGACTAAATGAAAACAAACACACCCATGAAAACGCCATCTGCTGAACCAACCCCTTTCCGTCTGTATGTTAAAATCCAAAGAGGCCCAAAATTTCTCTATCACTACTTACTCACCACATCTTTAGATGAAGGCACATCATTTGAAGACCTGTGCCGCGACTGATCCCCGCGGGTTACTTGTCCAGAGCTACTCCTCCTCACAAACAACTCAGCTACACCGGACAACCTATCTCGAATCTCTCGCACTACACAGTAAAAAACAACCAAATGAACATTTATTCTCAGCTAATAAGGTCAAAGCAAATTCTGCTTAGGGGGTTATCATACCTGAAGGCTGCTGTTCTACTCTTTCTGCAGATGTACCAGCATTTATAGCAGGTTTGACACTTGGCTGTTGGAAAAGGAGACAGCAAGACAGACATCCTTTACTTTCATTCCTCCATAAAAGGAAATGCCTTAAAGAAGCACATTAAGGAGCACTCACTCGTTGCCTAGAACTGGAGCCGATTTGTGGGTACTTCAAGATGGTCCAATCAAATACATAATCAAATTGGTACCCTGAATCATTAATGTCAATTCAACCTTAGCACTAGCCCAAACAAACCAATAAAAGAAAGAGACACAAACTAGTACAATGCTAACCTTCTCGAATAAATAAGTCCCTGAAAAGCCTTTTCAGGTATGAATAATCGGGCTTGTCTTCAAACCGCAATGACCGACAATAATGGAAATACGACGTGAACTCAGAGGGATAGCTCTTGCAAAGGACCTGTCAAACAACAAAGATAGCATTTAGCATACAGAAGTACATCGCCATGAGCAAGCCACCACAATCGAATACACAAATTATCTCCTTGTGTACCAGTCGTTTCATAAGCTATGCCTTTTAAATTTCTAGTTGATGTAATCAGTGGATAGGCTCGAATAAGCAACCTATAAAGGAAAATAACCATACCTCTATCGGGGTAAGCATCTTCTTCTCACTGATTTTGTCATACTTCTGCTTCTTAGTGCCTGCTTTCAGTCCCTGCCATGGAAGGCTGAAGAAGAACGAAGTCAGGATTGTATTAACCATAGAAAGAAACGCTTCAGCAAGTCAAAGAGGTAGCCTACCTTCCCCGAAGGAAGTACATGAGAACAAATCCAAGAGACTCTATATCGTCTCTTCTGCTTTGCTCTGGAAGCCGGGAAAGAAGGCATTAGATTTTATGTAAAGCTTAACACTGTTGACAGATGGCAGATTTTTTTTTTATGAAGGTTAGGTTCACTTACCAATTCCAAGATGAGTATTAACACTAGCATAACGAGCAGTGCCAGTCAGATTCTTATTTTCCCTGCAACACAGAGAAAGAAACAAGATGAAGATTCACTATTAGTGATAAGATTGATGAATTCATGACCACACAGAAATGAGCAAAGAAAACAAAGTCAAGTTGGCACAATGCAATTTCATATAGCCATTCACTTAAGAGTGCTATAGACTCGCAAAAACTGAAAAAAGCAACACCATCACCATTAGCAACTTTAACACTGACATGGCACAAGCAAACACTGGTTGTAGCAAGTTTTGGATTCCTAATAACATGGGGAACACACGAAGTTGTAAAGAAATCAAGGGGCATACTTCCAAGCCTCCTTCTAAGTCAGATTAAGAAGGTCCACTAAAATTGGAGTGCTTTCTCAACTACACCAGGAATTGTGCGAAAAATTATTCATTGGTCCTTAGCTTCATTTTCATGGAAAATCAGCATATTCGTTAAGTTAGACTTGTTTCTCGTACTTGAGAAAAATAACTTAAAACTACTGAAACTAGAGGTTCATTAGTCTGACTTTCCAATGTCCAGCGTTATCATGTCATATGTTATATGAAAACAAGCCACCCATAAGGAAATGCAGCAGGGATTGAGGAGAAGAATTGCAAGGCAAATGAAAAATATATGCCAACCAGCTAAAGCAACTACAATTCTACAGTGAGTGAATTTATCCATCAAGAGTTACCTGTATGGTATGTGCTTGTGTGTTTGAAGATCCCTGTACTTTTTGGCGAGGCCGTAGTCAATGATGTAGACCTGCATGGGGTAATCACCAAGGAAATGTCAAGTAAGAAATGTTGAGACACCAAGGTACACACATATTTGAACTCAATATTATTTATTAAATCTTAAACAATTAACAGAAGAAAAAGCTGGATAAAAGTTTGCGGAGCACCACCAACAAAAGAAATCCCACCTGATTGGCTTTGCGCCCCAAGCCCATCAAGAAATTGTCAGGCTTTATATCACGGTGAAGAAAACCTCTTTGGTGCAAGTATTCAACTCGGTTTATCTGCAAAGGAAAACAGCATAAAGCAACAAATTACAGTTAATAAAAAGACTTAACCAGTAAGACTTATCCTATTTAAATGACCAAGTTTTGTGACTTACAAGTTGATCTGCAAGCATCAAAACTGTTTTCAAAGTAAATTTGCGATTGCAATAGTTAAACAAGTCTTCTAGACTCGGTCCCAGCAGGTCGATAACCATGACATTGTATTCCCCTTCCACTCCAAACCATTTGAGGTGAGGAATGCCAGCTTCAAAAAATAAACAAGAAATGAGTACTCAACTAACAAATCTCGGGCACAATGCAATAAGTTATGTTATGTTTGTAAACAGGAGCTTACTTCCTCCTTGAAGGAGCATGTACAACTTTGACTCATAATGAAGTTGGGGGGTCTTGGTCTTTGCAGATTCCTGGAAACCACAATAATGCTTACAATTACAAAATGAAAGTATAGGTGGACTTGCTTTGACTAACAAAAAGAATAAACAGAAACTTAAAGAGCGAATTAAAAATTTACAGAAGAATATGAAAGTCCTTTGTCACAATTGGTCATACAAATTAACTAGAAACTGGATTTTATACAAGTACCTTTCCACCAAAGTACCTCTAACCGGAAGAGTTCATACACAATCCTTATGTTTCATTCATTGGTTTGGACATCCTTGCCATGGAAAAGTCAGTGGATTCATGGTTTCTGCTCTAATTCTTCAGCCAGCAAATCAAAGAGTTCCCCAAACAGCATCCAATCAAACCATACTTATAAAAGCCATCCTACTAGCATCTACTGGTATTCTGACGACAAATTCAAGAGTCAAAGAGAAGCAGCATGCCATCATCATGCACAAGTGCTCCTAATCTTACTAACTATATATAGTATGCAAGCACTGGAGAAGCTCATTCTCTTCTTGATGAGCAAGGATAACCACTATAGATTCTACTCAACCAGAGGTTAGCAAACTCAAATATCAGCCAGAAAGCAAGCTCGATTCAAAGCCCAAAAAAGGGTTATAACAAATCAGTATGTGTTGGAACAACAAAGACATACCAACTTAACCGCAACTTCTTCTCCACTCTGTATGTTAACACCTGAAACCAAGGAGACAAGCCAACCTGTAAGTAACCTAACCAAACCTCCAAACAGTAAAATCTGAAGCATCTAATGGGAGTAAAAAAAAAAATTAACATAAAAAAATAGACGATCAGAAGAGACAATGCTGTTGAAGAAAACCCTAAAATAGCATACCCAGGTATAGTTCCCCAAAAGATCCGCTCCCGATCTTCCGGCCCAGCTTAAATTTGGAGGCGATCACATGGTCCATGATCAACCCACTTCAAGTCTTCAACCAATACACTATCCAACGAGTCGAACAGATTAATGAAAGACGAAACTCCGTCGGGCACAAACAGAAACAGTTCCCTCGCTTGGAAAACCCAACAACTCTCAGATCTAATAACCGGAGCGAAGGCTATCGCCGGATAATCGAGCTCGTCGCTCACTCGACTAACTCCAAACTGATGATTATAACAGCAAAGAAAAAGTAACGGTGACAGGACACTCCTATTATTCTACTCCTCGAGCATCTAAGCAGCAGAAAACACTCTAAGAAAGAAAGACCCAGTAATGAGCGAGTACTGAATTAGGGTTCAGGGAGAAGAATGGATAAGTGAAAAATCGACGGAGGCAAGGGAAAGCGAAATTCCAGAGCTTAGAATAAGAATGGATAAGACTTTCTCTTCTTCACCTTTGGTGAGGGAGAAAAAGAAAGGAGAAGTGGATATCTAAGAAACAATATTTGCGGCAAAAATAAGGGGATCTCAAGGATCTGGGCCGACTGTTTGCAAGGATTGAGGGATTTCCTCTATTATTTTCCCCGGGGGAAAAAAGAACTTGGGATTCTCGGAAAACGAATGACCTTCAGAGTTCAGACTCTCATTCGAGGAAGAAGAGGACAGGGGAAGAGACGATAGAGGGAGAAGGAAACAACGACGATGGAGGAAGGGAACAGGCTCTGAAGATATCTTTATTTAATTTTTTCCTTTTCATTTTTTTTTTCGTTGATTTTTTATTAATTAATTTTCGGGTTAATTGGTTGGTCACTGAAATTACAGAAAACGTTCAAGTCTGGTCACTCAAAATATTTAAATCTATTGGCGGTACTTCAGCTTATTGAAATCGTTCACGTTTGATCACTCTCCGTCCAACTCCGTTAACTTTTGCTTACGTGACGGTCAACTCTAAAAGTTGACCGTTAAATGTGTGACGTGGCAATTTAAAAATAGTAAAAATAAAAAAATTAAAAATTTTAAAATTGACATCTCATTTCCACCTCATTATCACTTTTATTTAAAATAAACAAAAAACATAATTTCTTCTAATTTCCACCTCATCTTTGCAATAATTGATCATCTTAGCCACTAATTCTATCAATTCGGGCAAATTAGCAAAAGAGGAAAGCTGAGGAGTTGCAGATTAGAGGAAGCGGAGAAGAGGCTTTTCCTATAATTCCCTACCAAAACCAACCTCTTCCTCTGTTTCTCCCCTTTCCGTTTCACCGTCGAACCTCCGGACTCCCCACCACCCAACCCCCTCCAACAGAGATTATGTAAATAATTGGGAAATGAAGCTAGGGGTCTTTGTCTGCGAGAGAGGAAGGAATCAGCCAAGAGAGGCGTGGCGGCGGCCGACGAGTAGGGTTCTCGATCTTGAAATTTGGGAAGAGATGGCGACGACAACCAAAATCCGTTTGTCCATTATAGCCACCGCGACAAAAATTAGGATCAACGACCGTGCAATAGCGCCATAGATCCGGTCCTTGTTCAGTCCCTACTCAGTGTCGCCGTCATGAATCTTGATCTGGCAGTGGAGTTGCTGCCAAGTGAGTTGCGCCACGGCTGGTGGAGGTGAGGGAGGTTGGCGGCGAGGTCCAGGGCGTCTTAGTAGGAGAGAAAGTGGTGGAGGAGGTGAACATTGGAGGAGAGCAGCGACGGCGGGGAAAGGTCGGGAGAGGGAACGATGTACTAGTGGGAGGAGTTTCGTCTTCAGGGTCTTGAACCACTCGTTGTAATAGTCTTGGAAGAGGACGGTGGCCGGAGTTGATTTCTTGGCTATGGCGGTGGAGGGGGGGAATAGGTCGGAGAAGGAAAAATGCAGCATCTTCTCGAGAAGAAGAAAAATTGGAACGAAGGAAATGAGCTTTCCATCTCTGATGGAATTGGGGAGGGGATTCAAATGGGGAAATGGAGAAGGGGCTTTTTAGAAACAGAATTCTCAATTATATGTAGCAGCATATTGTTGTAAAAATAGGTGGAAATTGTAAAATATTAATTTTTATTATTTTTTAACTGCCACGTCACACATTTAACGGTCAACTTTTAGAGTTGACCGCCACGTAAGCAAAAGTTAACGGAGTTGGACGGAGAGTGATCAAACGTGAACGGTTTCAATAAACTAAAGTACCACCAATGGATTTAAATATTTCGAGTGACCAAACTTGAACATTTTTTGTAATCTCAGTGACCAACCATGCAATTAACCCATTAATTTTCCTTGTCATATTTGACGGGCAAGGTTTAGTTGGGTATAACTCAATTTTCGACCATTGTCCTCTAGCAGATCTGGGTCGTTAATTCACGAGAAAGGGTATTGGAGTTGTCGGCTAAAATTAAAATATAAGTATCGTATGCTCCCTAATATGGTTGTCAATCGGTAGCTTGTAGGTCGGTACAACCGGGTTCACCCAGTATCGGTTATTAAATTAGTTGAAATATTTTTTATATTATAAAGATGATCGTTTTTTACCTCCTAATAGAATGATATCGTTTTATTGAATTTAATTAATAAAAATATAATTTTTGACTTGCTTTTCGAATTTGAGAATTAAATGTTGATGTTATTTGTTGTATTTAAGTATGAATGTGTAGATGAGCATCTTATTTGTTGGATACTTGGATTCAAGTATATACATGTGGATGTTGGAGTTAAATGTTGTATTTAAATATGAATTTTTTCATTTTGTTTGAAATGTTTTATTTTATTTAAATATGTGTGTCGATTTTAGAGAGATTTCCTTCAAGCTTCAAATATGTTATAAATCGGTTGTACCACCGGTCGGACCATACCACTTGCCAAACTGACAGAACGTTATAAACTGTTTTGACAACCATGCTTTCTACACATAACGCTAATAATGACAATTTATTTGAGGTCTAGTTTAATCAAGGGTCATAGGCTCTACCTCAGAACCAGATGGGATACCAAACTGAAAAAGTTAGTGGTTTATAGTTCAAGGTTAACCGTTATTAAACTGTTGATTAATCGTTGGTAGAATCGTTCAGGTGTTATGACATAAAAGACATTGGAAGGCCTCGGTGCGGGAATGGACATAATGGAGTCTGGACGAGTTGAGCTTGAGACGAGAGTGTCCTCCATAGGGTTTTAGGGTGAGAACTGAATGAAAGTGGTCGACTTTAGGAGAGATGGGTATTGGTTGATTTCTTGCTTTTTAATATTAAATTATAATATCTTAACTATACTTAATATCTATTAACTACTATCTTCCTATTAACTACCTAAATTACTCTAATACAATAGAAATGACTTAAGATACTTTTTAAGTTTTTAGACTTAAGCACCTGAACTCGAGCTTACTAGGGAATACTCAAGCAAAATGTGTGGATTACAGAATTAGCCTTCTCATTAGAGTACTTGTATTTCCTTGTATTTCCTTTTCCCTTACAACAAAATAGTAAATATGAAAATAAAGAACCCCATGACCTTGACCTTAGAGTTACTTGTATTTCCTTTTCCCTTACAACAAAATAGTAAATATGAAAACAAAGAACCCCTATGACCTTTACCTTAGAGCACCTGAACTCGAGCTTACTAGGGAATACTCAAGCAAAATGTGTGGATTACAGAATTAGCCTTCTCATTAGAGTACTTGTATTTCCTTGTATTTCCTTTTCCCTCTACAACAAAATAGTAAATATGAAAATAAAGAACCCCATGACCTTGACCTTAGAGTTACTTGTATTTCCTTTTCCCTTACAACAAAATAGTAAATATGAAAACAAAGAACCCCTATGACCTTTACCTTAGAGTTACTTGTATTTCATTTCCCTTTACAATAAAATAGTAAATATGAAAATAAAGAACCCATATGACCTTGACCTTAATAGTGACAACCTATCAAGAACAAATTAGAATGTTTCAGAGGCCAAAAGTGAGAAACCTGACGCTGCTACATGCAACAAACCAAAAGTGAGGCCTCCCAAAAGCTGCCATGGTTCCCTTCTGTAGGTATCATGCTGGCTTGGAACAGTCTTTATCATGACCACATGGGACGAACCATACCACCATAAATTGGTAAGAGAAGAGTTGCATTGCTCCAGTTGAACTGAATCTCCAACTGTTAATGGTGGAAAAATGGGTGGATGAGTTGTAGCTGACTTCTACGAAGATGACGATTGTTACTACGGTTCACACCTCTTCAAACACTGTTCGAATGAGGGTGTTTGGTGTATGGAGAATCTACGTTACCTTACACTACTCCTATGGAGATTCCTTGAGAGATCCGCAACTATTAACGAAGACTACTGCTATGGAGGATCCTTCATGGAGGAGAGCTCCGCAAACTACAGAGAAAAGGAAAAAAGGAACCGTTGAGACAAGTTGTCTTTGTGGTGGATTGTGATTCTCCCCTCTGCTCTAGGAGGTTGCTTCAAATTTTGTTGCCAAGATTCGTCCAACTGATCTCTCTCTCTCCTCCTCCTGAAAAGTAACTCGGCTTAGCCTCTACGCAAGTTAGTTCTCGTCGAAGGAAGTCTCTAGACACCTCACCATGCCATCCTCTTTCAACATGGATGGAATCATCCTACTAGTATTTTGGATGGTATCCATGATACGAAATGGTATCATCCAATGAGTACTTTGGATGGTGTCCATGATATGGGATGGTCACCATCCACTGAGAGGTTGGATGGTATCATCCAATTTGGGGTTGGGATGGCATCCATGATATTTAGTGGATGGTACCATCCAATGTAGGGTTAGATGGTCACCATCCACTCACTGTACGGTTGGATGGTCACCATCCACTAAGAGGTTGGATAGTGTCCACTACATGGGATTGTATCATCCGCTTTGGGTTTGTGATGGTATCCATGATATGAGATGACACCATCCACTAAGAGGTTGAATGGTGTCCACTATATGGGATGGTACTGTTTGAGCCAAGATGCCTCGCTGGAACTCTCGCGATTCCCTTCCGACCAGCGCCTGCCTACACACACGAACACGGAGGGGGCGCCTGGGCTCGTTAATCCTCCGACGCTCATGTTAGTCTCTTAGAGAGAGAGAAGTGTCTCAAGGTAAGAGCTTTAGTGAGAGAATCCAACCTGTGTAAATGCTACCAACTGCCCTTATTTATACTCACCGAGTTCGAGGTTGATCTCCTCCACGTCACTGTCTCCATTTAATGCCTTGTACTCTCCTTGTCAGATATCCCAACTGCCTTGTCAGGCTTCTGGCACGTGACAGGCGCCCACATATGATGGACCACTTGACAGCCTGGCCTCCCTTGACAGTCTGACTCCCTTTGGCTTCTAGTGTTTTGTCTTCATGCGCCCCTCACCTTGCTTGGGCCCATAATTGTTTTACACTTCCACTTACAGGCCTTGCCCCCCAATTCTGTTGCTTGGAAGCCCAAACTACAGCTCATTGGGCCTCGCTCGTAGTACCCCCAACAATTGCCCCCCCCCCCCCAGTTAGGTGCTCATGGCTTTACCTTTGAGCGCCTAACTGATTCTTCTATCGTGGCCTTTCATCCTCTTTGTTTATAGGCGCCCGATTTCCCGGGTGCGCCGGTCTTTACGGCACTTGGATTCGCTGATAGGCGCCCCACTTTTAATGGCTCCTTCTGTTTTTGTGCTTTCCCCTCGTGATTTATGGGCGCCTTTCGGTGGAGCTGTCTGTGAGGGGTGTCCCTAGCCCTTATGCCCCCCCTCAGGGGTGGGGTTTTGATGTGGGCCCACATTTCCCTTGCTTGGAAAATTCCAAATTTTGAATTTCGAAATTAGAAAATTCAAAATTGGAATTTTCGAAAGGCCCACATTTTCCTTATGCCCCCCTCACGCGACGTGGGCTTTGACTCGGGTCCTTCTCCCCTTTAAATACCCCCTCCTCCCTCAGTTCTTGTCACTTTCTTCCAATCGACCTCTCTCTAAGATTTCGCTCTGACTTCTCTCTAGATTCCGCTCTGACTTCTCTCTAGATTCCTCTTGCAAACGTCATCACTTCTTTCTAGTCAGCCAAGAATGTCGTCGCCACAACAAGACAAAACATCCGGCCAAGGCGCCTCTGGCGCGGGTGCGACTGGTGCAGACGCCCCGGGGGCGGGCGCCTCAGGTGCAGGTGTTGAAGCAAGGCGCCCGACTCAAGGTGGTAAGGAATCTTATCTTGTTGGTTACTCGTTTTGGATTTATTCTAGCTATCTAGGGAAGGGCGTCACTTACTCCGCGTCAATGTTGCGCCTCGGTTGTTTGTTGGTTTAGAGAGGGCGCCTGCTTCTACGTCCGCTGGTCTGTCAAGCATCTCGACTCCAGGTTTCATGCCCGCGGACCGGTCCTACAAGATTACGACGTGGGAGAGCTCCTTTCCCCCCGACCACCTTCCAATGGAGACATCCCAGTTGCCCTTCGACGTGGCCGGACCGATGCATACGTCGACTGTTATCCTTGCCCGCGTACATGAATTGGTGACCAGCCTCCAACTCCTGCGCGACTGGTGGTATGCGCCTCCGTCTGCGAATTCGCGAGTGGGCGTCTGCGGGCTGAAGTGGATTGGGGTGTACCAAGAATATTTCCGCTTCGGATTGCGGTTTCCCCTCGACCACATTATGGAAGGGATCCTGACGACCTGCGGTTGTTCACTGGGGCGCCTATCTCCCTCGGTCATTGTGATCATAATCCTATTCAAGTTGAGGTGTCGGGAACACAATGTGGAGCCCACCTTCAACTTGTTCATGTATTTTTTTTTAAGATGGCGCCCTTTGACAACTGCTTGTCGCTTCAAAAGAGGAAGAAGCGCCCGTATCATTTTGTGGAGCGGTGTCCGAAGCTGGGGCGCAGCTGGTTCAACATGTTCTTTTTCATGAAGGCATACCGGGACTGATTCTTTGAGAGTGGAGGCGCCTTTCTGAGGCAGTGGAAGTTGGGGCACATCGAGGATTTTAACGCGCCGTTCGTGTTGTCTCAATCGGAGAAAGACGGCGCCCGCTTGATTTGAGAGCGGAGCGTGGACCTGCGCAAAACTGAAAACCGCCCCCCATTCTGGAGGCGTATTATAATGATGGTTTGTAGGCGCCTAGATGTTATTCCTGTACCCATGTTGTGACTCGCGCTAATTTTTTTTATTTTTTTGACTTGTGCTAATCATTTGGCAATGTGCAGGGTCGGATTTCAGCAGAATTGCCAAGCTGATGAAGACTCGGCTTGCAGCTATGACGGGAAGGGCGCCCTCATCAGTTCGGCCAAAGGCGCCCGCTTCCACCGCCACCCAGCCACAGGCGCCCGTGTCGGCCGCCGCCCAATCACAGACGCCTCTTCCTCAGCCTCCGGGGCAGAAGACGCCACGCTGGCGGTCTTCGTATGCATTGTGCCCCCCTTCACGCCACATCAACAAAAAAGCTGACAGAGAGAAGGAGAAAGCGGGCGCCGCCACCTCGGGTGGTGGGGATGGCG